GCCATAAATTCAATATGTTGTCGACCCAATGGCTCGTGATCGTGGTATTACGGTATTAAGACTTCCCCCTTAGTTCTGCAGAATCAATGGATTACGAAACTTCATAGATTTAGAATTCAAGTAAGTGATACCAAGCTTAATTTACATATTTTTATAATAAACAAAATATAATTATAAACACAGATGAATTATTATAACAAAAATAGATAACCAACCTACTTTCATCTAGTAATATTCACAAATACCCATTTAATTTGCCAATATACAATTTTTGCGACACTGGTAGAGTGCATTTTGATATGATAACGATACCTTTTGCAGTTTTAAGGCGCACCTTGTTCAATATTTTGTTCGAGTATAATACCCCATTTAATTTTCCAATAGTGTTTCTACGCCACTGGCATAATATTTACATATTTTAACAATAAACAAAACAAAATTATAAACATAAATGATTATTACTACAAAAATAGATAACCCACCTACTATATTATTTACTATTACCGCATTTAATTGGCCAATAGTTTTTATACACCACTGGCGTAATTCATTTTGGCAATAAACATGCATTTATGACTAGTTGGTACGTGATTCCGATAACTTCTGCAGTTTTAAGCGCGTGATTCCATTCATTATACTCTGGTATAGTATGATTGTTGTACGTGAACAGGAAGGAATCACCTGCTTCAATATTTTGTCCGAGTATACCAACTTTTGAAGAGGACCATCGGGTTTCGGGTAGGTTTGGTTGCCAGAGTTGAAACTGGCGTTCAATATTGGAATCGGTCTCGATGCCATGCTTCACAAAATCGAACTGCGATCAATTCTACTGACTGCCAGTTAAGTTATTTTCAATTCTTGTTTCAACCTCGGTCGAGTAAACCAGTATTTTATTGTAATTTAAAAATAAAATTTCGTTTTTAAAAATAAGTTTTGAAACTAAAATAACTTAACTAGCTGTACACTTACACATTATCAACTTATGGCTTCATATTAGCATTTAGAAGTTTCATTGCCAGACGAGCAAGAGTTTAAACTATATACTCCGATAATGGCACGAGTTTCCCATTATTAGTGATCTCTTGTTTCCTACCATGAGTTCCAATTATACATCCGCAAATGTCATTTTGTTTTTGCGTTTGATAGTATTAGCAGGGGTGTCAGTAACATTTTTAGGGGTGCTATTTGCAAAAGGTAAAATTTTATTAGAAATATATCGTTCATTCTTACATTAACATGCAAATAGTTTGCTGCGCAGCGATGGAGCCCTCGACGATGACGTACCTTATTGCTTGCTGTTAGGGCAATTTAGCGCTAGAGTTATTTTAAAAATATTCGTCATCGAGGTATAGATATTTGGTACCATTGTAACAATGTGTAGTTATTTTATAGGGTGATTTTTGGCGAGAATTTACATCAATAATGGTTTTTTATTCCAAATTTTCTTTTAAATGCGAAATTAAATGGATGAATCAATGTTTTCTTCTAAAAGAGACACTATTATTAATTGTTTCTACGTAAATAAGATTGGAAATTCCGATGCGTTGTTAGGGGAAAGGATTAAATACATAAGATTAATAATTAAAATATATATTCTAATCGAACTAAAACAACAATTGAATTTTATGGATAGATAAAGGTTTGGTAAGGTAGATATTTAAGGACAGAGCAATAAATAAAAATAAATAACATAAAAATAAAATTTTATTGTTTTAATGCAAACAATAGAGACTAAATATCAATAAAACAACAATCACACATGAAAGTTTACGTAATATTTGGATTTTCTCGTAAATGTAGTGACGTTATCGAATTTTTTTTTTTTTTTTTAATATCAACCCCCATTTTTTATTCTATATTCTGACACTATTAAAACAGTCAAATTAGCCCATAGGAAACTTTACCAAACAGACAGACAACACAATGTAGTTCTATTTATTAGATTTTTGACATAGTCGAAGCATCTGGGGGTGTACTTTATTGGAGACCGTTAATTATGTTATTTATAATTAGAGAGAAAATTCTTTGAAGAAGAGTAGTTTGTGATGTCATTCTCTATATTTTTTGTCATATTAATATTTTTAAATGGACCGTAATGAAAAAAATTTGAGGAAAAGTGCAAAATTTAAAAGTTTTCAGTTTTTGGTTGGAAATGAAAATATAAATTTATAAAAAAGTAATGTGTTGGAAACATCGGATATTTATTAATATTTACACGTATATATTAAAATAATATTGGCCGGTTTTATATATGTTTTAAAATCAATAGCAAATTTATTATTTTTACTTTTATATATACATATAAATGTTTACATTAATACCCAAAAGAAAATAAAAAACAAAGCTTATTTATTATGGTATCAATCATCAATCACGTACCCATGTCTTCATTCAAGCAATTTCTTTAAATTAAATTAATTTTCCCTAATTTTCCGATGCATTTGAAACACGCAATTTTTCACATTGTAAAACGGTTTCATATTAGAGAGCATAGAAACAACCTTGCTAAGATAATTTGGATAGAATGGATTACGTAATTTTCTAATAATATGAAAAGAAAATAAAAGCATTATTCATCATATACCTATTACACCAATCATAAAATATAAACAAGATTGTGGTTATAGCCATTATCATTAAACAAATTTTAAAAATTGTGACATTAAATAGATATTGAATACAATAATAAAATATTTTTTTTACTGTGAGAATCAGTCTTATAGTTCCGAAAACTTATCAGTTAGATATCCTAAAATATGAAATTAAATTTCCAGGAAATTCCCAAATAAATCCCAATATTACCCCTACGAAATATTGAACATTATTTTTGAACTCCCAAGAAAACAAATTTAATGAAAAATTGAAAAAAATTCTACCCACGTGGGGATTCGGACTCACCTACTCCTGTTCTACGCACAGTCGTTCTTCCAATTAATCTATCGCTGACATAGTCAGAGTCAAGATGAAAAAAAGACTTCGCGTTTCAGATAATTTTTAATTCTTCAACAAATTTAACTTTGTCTTTTATAAATTCGGAGCCAGTATGCTATATATTAGGAAAGACGTAATTTGTGTCCCACCGAGGGGTTGACCGCAGCGAAAATTTGTACAAAAGATTTCCTCTTTTGTAGTGAATTCCTCCTAACTTCCCCTGAATTCCTACGACTTTCCTCGGACTCCCTCCTGACTTCCTCGGACTTCCTCCTAACTTCCTCGGATTTCCTGCGACTTCCTCTGACTTCCTCCTGACTTCGCCCTACTAATGCTTCGATAAGTTATTTTAACTAATCTGTTATTTATTGACTTAAATTTCCGAATTTATTCGAATAATTCGGAATAAGAGTCCAGATGGTTTTACCTGATTGAGAACGCCCCTTTTTACTTTCTTTACTTGTTAATATTTGATGACTAATGAAATTTACATTATGTTCATAATTATCTACAAACCTATTCAATTTCTTTAAGACATCCTCATCTAGTACAGAAGGGTAACTATAATTTTTATTATTATACTATAGAAATAAATCAGAGGCTTAATGTGTTACTTATACTACTTACTTTATATCCAGTTTTTATTGATGATTTGAGAAATCAGTTCGAGTGGTAGTGGTATAATTAATTTGATATGATATGGAATAAAATAAAAAATCCGAAGTCTATTTTTATTGAAGTAATAAATGTTAAACACAACCTTCTGTTGCCTAGGCACATTTGTGCAAAAAATCAAATAATAGAAAATAACTTTATAAAAAATAAATCCTCCAAAATTATTAAATTTATCATTTGAAGATTAAACACATATCTAAATAACCACCTCGTGCCATTAGGGTTAGTTCAATTATAAAAGTATTGCACTTTTGCTTAAAAAATGATAAGAACTTAAAAATAGATAATAAATAGTGACAAAATAGTAAAGATCATTCGGTAATATTTCTAGAAATTTCTAAAAATTTATACTTTCCCCGAGATACAACAGGAGTACTTAAAACATTATTAATTTCGTCCATATGAATAATCATCTCATCCCGAACATCTGGAAATGAATATGCATTCGTTTTTTCATTGTAACGCATACAAGAAACAGTACCTAATATTCGATTTTTCTTTTTTTATCACTTGAGCAATGAATTTTTTTTGTTTCTCCTTTTTGGTACCTTGATTATAAATAAATGTACAAACAACAAAACTCTCAACAGAAAGCTCATCAGTTTTGTTTGCTACTTCAACTTTCGTAGAACGTTTTGTTTCAAGAGCTTTACCAACTTGTGTCTCAATCACAGACTGGCTACAGTCTGAATCATCGTCCGATTTATTAGAATCGAAAACTTCCGTATCAGTACTGTCATCGAAAGTAGTGGCTTCATCCTCTTCATCAGTCTCCGACGAGGTATCGTCGTGTTTAGTAGTTTTGGTGCGTTTAGGTGTAATTGCTCTTTTCTTGGACTTACGCTTTTTATTTGTACGAAATTGTTCTCTTAATTCAGTCATGGTATCCCAATTTTCATTCGAAGCTCTTTATTTTCTTCGTGTATGATGGGACAAGGAATAGAACATTTGTATAGAGATATATCACATATTTCTTTGGTATCAGTGTCTATTGCTGTTAATATTCCTACCTCATCGATGGAGTACCAAGCACAATGACATTCAATTCCTTCTTCTCTACTTTGGACTAAGGCCCAATCTAGACAGAAGACCTTGCCGGAAGGTTCTAAATAGACAAATGATAATTCCCGTCCAAGCAAACAATCTTTTATGGCACATTTGTTATTTTTCAGTTTAGTGTATTCAAATACACACCAATCTCCAGTTTTAATTTGAGACTTGTAAGTTTTCGGGTTTCAGACTTTTGTACGATTTCGAATGAATCTTCTCAGTCGATCAAAGCTTACTTTGTCTTTGGTCTGATCTAACAACCAACACAACGAGGATTTTCGAATGACTGTTGATTTACCTTCGACTGACACTCTAACGAAACTCCCCTTTTCAATCAATATATCTCATTTTTTATCAGAATAGTCTTTCAACTGCAAATCTGGTCCAAGTTGGTCAAGCCTGACATTACAAAGGTCCAGTCGGAGCTCATCCGACTCTTCAGGCAGCTCTATACTATCGTTTACTTTGTTAATAACATCCGAGATAACATTAGTATCGTTCAGATTTACACCATGAGAATTACACTCGTCGAGTCTTCCCTCTTCCTCAGACTCTTCATAGAGTTCTTCAAGCTGAGCCTCTTGGAAATTTTCTATAGGTTCCAAAACCGACTCTGCGTCTGTTCTCTTAAAGGTCTTCCCACGTGACACTGGAACAGTTACAAAATTCCAACAGTTCTCAGATACTGTGATGCCAAGCGCCTTAGCATCTTCTATGGAATTTTGTAAAGCGTCTTCAACAACGCGGAGTTTATCTTGGTCAGATAGGCGGAAATCATAATCTGGAAGATTAAAGTCCAACTTGTTCGAGTCCATTTTCTTATCTTCTCTGGGAAGCGTTCCAGTGCAATCTTTCAGAATATTATTGACAGATTGTATTCTGTCAATACAATGCAAAATGTCTTTAACACTGGAGTTAACTACTGTCGAAAAAGTGGACGTAAGAGATCGGGTTGTTCTAAAGAGCTTTTCATACGACTGGCTGGAGAAGAGCCAAGGTAAAAACATGTCATTCGTGATATCCTCATTTTGTCTGGCTTTTACAATGAGCCTGAAAAGACTGTGGCCATTTAGCTCTATTCAGAGATAAGCGTTCGATGACAGAAAATTGTTCTTCATTGTATATTTTTGATTTTTCAGCCAGTTTTTCCACATTCTTAAAAATACAATACCACATGTAATAAATCCTATTCTCCACCGTAGTCTTCTTACTCAAAAATGCATCAATTATTTAGCGCATTATTCTTAGATAGTGCACCGTTGCTTTACTATAACGTATTTTTTCTTCCAAAAGATCTATACCTTTCAGTGGCCACATCTTTTCTGCAGCTTCAAAATTCATTTTGTCGCCTCCTTTCAAATCAGTAGCTGTCAATAAATGCTGATATTTTGACTAGGGCTTGTAGGTGGTTGTTACCAGCGATGTAGTTTCCCATAGGTAAAGTTACAGCTGAATTTAGAAGTCTAACTCTTAGTTTTGTCAAAATATGTATTTGATACCATTTCCACTCATTCAGCTGCCTTATTTCAGGGGACTTATCCATTCGTTTTGATCTCGGTTCTGATTCAGAAGCACTTTTAGTCGTTTTCGGGGTTTCATATCCATTCGAAATAGACAAGACCGAATTTAGGCGCATTGCTTTCAGCAGTCTGGTATCTCCATCTGATGAAAATCCCGCCACCTTTATTCCAAACCTTTGCAGACCCTGCCTCATCGATTTCCATCTATACTGTACATCTTGAAAAGTGAATTGTCGGTCCCAAATATCGTCATGCAGTAAGAAGATGCATTTTCGGAAAGCGGCTGAGCCATCACAGTATATACATAATGCGCTTTTGTTCCTATGCGAAAATATTCTTGAATTGCATTCGCCGAAGTTGCTATAAATGTGTCTGTTACGGGAATTCCATTTTCCAACGGCATTTTGCGTATTCGATTTTGCCTTAAAAATTAACATTATAGACAAAATAAGTAAAAGTAAAAGGTGATATTCATTTTAATTATGGAATTTGGAGAGGCTGAATATGGACAAACAAATTTTTATTTTACCTGTAATTCTCGTGGTGTCTTCACTAATCCACACGATTTTTTTTGGCCTCTTGCTACCAAGAATTCATGAAGTCCTGCATAATCAAAAACCCCTTCTTCACACGATTTTTTCTCTTGGTTGGCAAACCTAAGAAGGGATGAAAATGAGGGCAATGCATTTTTTAAATTTGCTTGCAGAGTCTCGTACAACAGTCTTCCGCCAATATAAAAAATATACAAGGCAAATCGTTTGATTGTTGGATTGAAAGTGTTTTTATTTGGTGTTCGATTTTCATTTTGAGTAGAAATTTCATACAACAAATCCAACAACTGATGACTACTATTAATTAATCCCTTTATTGGCTGGCAAGTTTTGCATGAGTTCACACTCCAAGTCTGGGTGGTCAGCGATAACATTTTTCACTTGCGTAACTACAGCATAAAAATTTGTTATAAGCTGTTGACCGTCTTCATTCTCGCTTCCTGCACCTTCGTTCTCTTTCACTCCGTTGGTATCGCACATTGATGGTTTCCTTTTGTAGAGGCTTCGTCAGGCAAAGGAATTTTTCGAGGGACCTATCAGTATAGCAGGGAAAATCCAGCTGGAGTCTCAGGGCTTAGAGGAATCTGAAATAATGTTCATTTTAGGAGTATTTTTTTGAACATCCAGGACCAGGGTCTGCATTTTGGCTATTTATTGTTGGTTTGAAAAAATTCTTGATAGTGGCACACTTGACTTCCTTGGGGTTTTTCTTCATTGAATGTGATGGCATTGCGTGTGTGTCACTATCATTTATTATTTACAGAAACATTTAATGACGCTTACTGCATTACTATCCCGCTTCGTATCATATTCATGATCGCACTTGTTGAATTTTTGAGAAGAATGTGACAAGTATGACAGCCAGTGGCAGATATATTACTTGTATTAACAATCACGCCACAGAAATTTACGAATCTAGTATCAACTCGAGAGATAATGCGCATGCGTAAAATAACTAGAGTTTGGAGATTTCCTCGAAATTCCTCCTGATTCCCCCGGAATTCCTCCTGACTTCCCCGAACTTCCTTCAGACTTCCCCTGTCGTGTACAAGATATTTCCCCGGCGGTTAACCCCTCGTGTCCCACTGAATTACAGTGACAGTAGGCTCACATAAATAGAGCTCAACAAACATTATGGCATGTTAACGGCCCTTAAACGTATGTACGTTACTTCAAGTAGTGTGACCTTTTGTTGAGGGTTTGGTATTGGTAAGTCGTCTTTTTGTCACAACAGGCGGCAGACGCCCGTCGTCAGTTTACCAGACACATGACCATGTCTGGCACATGGCCTTTATTCAGCAGTTAGTGTTAATATGGTAAAAGGCCTTCAATTTCTTGTTAACTTCCCATCAATAGGCCATTTAATTGCCAATATATTTATTTCTAGACATTAAAGGGAAAATGGAAGCCTATAAATTAATTGGATTTGCCAGCCTTTTAATTATAAAAGTTAAAGGGCTATCGTTATAATTGGAGGATAACAGTTATTGGGCCTTTTATTCCCCTACACAAAATGTTTGTTATGTACTCTATTATTTTGATCAATCTGAAACAAAGAAAACGTTGTAGGTGGTGGATTAGACAGTAGATATTACACAGAACTAAATGAGTTTCTGGTGAAAATATATCGAAAGAATTGGCTTTGGAAGATCTTGAATCCTATAGAAATAATGTATTAATGAAGAAAAATTTGACGCTAGCAGAACTGAACAAGTTAGACATTTGTAGGTGTTTTTTATTGTTCGGTTTTCTATTCATGCCTGGTTATTTACACTATTGCCGATTTAATTCTAATTACTTATGTCTCAATTTCTTGGAACGCTATTGTACGACAGTCCAACACTTTAGCCTCTGCACTTGAAGAACCCGAGTCACCAAAATATTAAAGCATTCTTCTTGAATCTGAATGATATTTAAAAGTGACAAATAAAGAAATACTTTTAATTAGATTGTTGGTATTATTGCTATAGCAATTTCTGATTTAGATACCTATCTATTTCTACCATTTCTTTTATCTTATATTTTTTCTTTAATTCTAGAGGAAGTTTCGAGACAATTGGTAGATTCATCAGTGAAAATTATTATCACTTTAAACGAATTATGGCCGCTAGCTGACGCTGCTGCCAATTTAGCGAGAAGAAAATTACCAATTGTTACCATCGCCTCAATGGTAAGCATGTTTTCATTCAATTGCTACAAAGTGTTTTATTTCAAAAGGATCAAAAGTCCCTTTAAAAAATAACATTGTCCATTATGTAAGTTTGACATTTGGAACAAATTGTGTTTTTAAGGCTGTATTTTAGCTAACGGTTCACCATTTCAAATTACATTTAATTTTTGCTAATATTAAAATAAATCAACCCGCTTGAAGTATAAGGTTTATTAAATAATGAATCTTCTACTTTTTGTGTCCAATTTATTTATTACATTTAAAAAAAAAATCACAAAAAGGCGTCTGTTAGTGAAGCAAGTGATTACGCGTTCGAGTCTCGTCACATAATAATCTTAGGCCAATGTTGACATCATTTGAAATTTTAAAACAAGTTTATCGACAGTTTTATTAGGCAAGGTGCTGAACGACTAAAAAGCATTTAACCCAAATTGTAGACAAAATAGAAAATAAATTAATTTAGGTCGACAATTATCGTAATGTTAAATTATCACAAACTAAGCGGTAACCGACTCTTTAACCAATTTGGATTTCGTCACAACTTGGATAAAGATGTATAAAAAATAAAATTATTTTAGCAAGGCCAAGCAACTCCGAAAGGAGCAGCGAACTTCGCAGAGCTTGCAGACAACGAAAATGACATTCCAAACGTTTCGATAGCTGCCGAAGATTTAGCATTCCTTCCGTATTCAAGCGGCACTACCGGCTTGCCCAAAGGTGTTCAACTCACCAATTATAATATCGTTACAAATTCTATGCAGTTGGAGCACCCAGAAGTACAAGTTAGCCGCACTAATACACGTAAGAGCATTAATAATAAATACAATTTACAATATTCGTGTTCTAAAGGCGTTATTTTCGAATTTTTTGGTCAATTTCTAATGCAAATGCCTACACCACTCTGCACTGGCCTCTAGAATATTATTTATTTGTTGTGTAGTTATTTATTTTCGTTTTTGTTAGTTTAAATAAGTTCGAACAGAGTCCTTTTTATTGTGCCCAACAATGATGTTTTAGACAATATTGCAATTCAAGAAGAGATTGTGGGATAATATAAAATAATATGAAATCTTAACTATTCTTGTTTTATAGTATCTTTTCGGTAATCCTGCAGTTAACGTCGTCACGTGTTGCATAGGCGTCGACATACTTTTCATTAAATTTGAAGGCAAGAAAAATGTTTTTTTGGAAAATATTTATCAAAATTATCTAAAATGTCCTTTCCATTAAAATATTAATATACGATCCCGCAACAATGTAACCATTCTAATCGTTCCAGCTGAAGTGGCATGGGCATGCACATTAAAAGCCACTTATTATACAAGATTACTAAACTTACAACCACTTTTACATTTTGATACCGTAATAAATATTGGTTTAATAGATTTTCGTTAACTCAAATCAATTTGTAATTTTTTAGCTGATCATCAAGACATCACTACGGCGGTGTTGCCATTCTTCCACATTTATGGCTTTACGGTGCTGTGCATATTTCAGCTTAGAATAGGTGCAAAAATTGTAACGCTGCCAAAATTTACACCGGAATTATATATTGATAGCCTAAAAAAACACAAACCACACATGCTTTACTTAGCACCACCTATCGGTAAGTCTGGTACTTATAAGTATTTATTTAGAAATACATCTTGTAATTGCATGTAATATTTGTATTGTTTGTCAAGAAACTATTAGATAGGCTACAAGATTACCACCCGTTATTTTTTAATTATTACCTTTTTGCGTAAAATAATGTGATTACAGTATTTTATTTGTTTTAGCCATTTTTCTGGCAAAATTTCCATACATTAGCAGCGAAGATTTCTGCAGTGTCAGAGGGATTGTTAACGGAGCTGCATCATTAGGACCTTTGGACGCCTCAAAATTGGTAGAAAAGATAAAACGGGACGTACCAATTTTACAAGGTATAACACAATAATTTTAACGAATAGTGTTCTGGTATATTAGAAAAGCTCCCAAAATAATTTAAAAAGAAACATCTCCTAATTGAATATACATATACATCCATAAAAATTCATTAAACTCTCAAAAGTTAAATTAAATAATTTTATTTTGAGATGATATTTTGGATATCTTTACGGATATTTTGTTCACATAAACACCGCTCTTGAGAAAACTATGGTTTTCGTCACACATTTATCAAGCGAGTAAATAAAAACAAGAATAGTGTGTATGAAAGAAGTATAACTATAGATTTATACACTTTACTACTTGCCGTAATTTTAGGATCCGGTCTAAAATTTGGATGGATCGATACGCCATGGACGTACGAAATTTTTATAATCGTATCACATTCTGTGTAGTTTTCTATCAAAATTTTAAATTTTATTAATAAAAATAAGTCTAGAACTAAAAAAATAAAATCAGAAGCTCAATCAATTTATACTAGTTAACATGTAAATCGTAACTGTATTATAATCACTTAATGACAACATACTGCTTTAATAATAATCAGCCGCCGCCTAACGCATTTAGAGTGTAGCTCTATCTCTCTCGATTTTAGTTTGTCGCTCTGACTGTTATTTCTACTTTTTGTCTGTATTCAGATCAATACTTACATCGTTTTTTAGGTTATGGCTTGACAGAAACCTCTCCGACTGTCACATCGACCCGCCTATCCGACTACTACAAAGAAGAATGTAAGGGTTCGATTGGCCTGCCCTTGCCGAACACCACTGTAAAAGTGATAAACCCCGAAGACGCTTCGGGGACGCCGCTGGGTCCGAACCAGCTCGGAGAATTATTGGTAAAAGGTCCGCAAGTCACCAAAGGGTATCTGAATAGACCGGAAGAAACTGAAAAAATGTTCTTGGACGGATGGATGAGGACCGGGGACATGATGTATTACAACGAGAAAGGATTCTTGTTCGTCAAGGATAGATTAAAGGAGTTGATCAAGGTCAAGGGTTATCAGGTGAGATACTGTCAACAAGAAGTGTAGTGCCCTGCACGTGCTACATTAATACTATCATCAGATAAAATTTCTGTTTACGGGACTATAGGGTGTCCAAATTAGACATTCCCATTTTAATTGACCGACATTTTTGGTAATCTTTATTGACAGTATTTCTATGGTGACATATGTCAAGTAAAAACGTTGTGGTTATTTGTTTTTCGGTCAACATGGAAAAACTGTCTATCGAAAACTCCGTTTTTATTGTGAAAACTTATTACCAAAATAAGGAATGTACGGCGGAAACTGCAACAAGATGCCTTACGCATTTCGGAAGAAAGAGTTTTATGAAGAAATTTCAACAGCAGAATATGGGATGAAGAAAATCCAAGAGAAATATTGAAAAAACAACTGTATCCAGGAAATGTATGACTGTGTGGTATCGTTTTTGGTATAGTGGCGTTATTAGTCCCTGTTTTTTCCAGAATGAAGCTGGTGCTCCGATAACTGTGAATGGAGCACGATACAGGACAATGACTACGAAATTATTTGTGGAACGAATTAGTAGATATGGATGTCCAGAACATGTTTCTAGCAAGACGGCGCCACTTGCCACACATCGGATAAAACACTAAATCTTTTATAGGAGAGATTTGGCATTCGAATAATTTTTCGAAGAGCTGAGGTTAATTGTCCGCCTAGGTCGTGCGACCTTACACTATTGGATTATTTCTTGTGGGGCTTTTTGAAGGGAAAAGATTATGCTAATAACCCTCAAACATCTAAACAGCTTCGAGTTAACATTATTTAAAAAAATGAAGAAATTGAACAGAGTGTTGGCGAAAATGTTCTTGAAAATGTTGTAAAAAGAACGTTGACAGAGGTGTCACATGCCGGATATCATTTTTCATTATTAACCGTAACATTTAAACTTTAAAATAATACAATAATATTATATGATTTCAAGAACTTTTTGTGTTTTATTATTAAATTAAATCCGAAAGTCAAATTTGAACACCCTTTACTTTGGTAATTTGTCGATCGAGTTAATCAGTCATTGAATGTCGTTTGCCCCACTTGAATCGAACGTCGATGCTTAGGTACTTTTGGCAATATCGCTCAATTGTTACATTTGATACTGAATACCCTTTTTCCTATTCAAACCGGTTCAGTAATAACGGTTTGGCAATGCTACTACATATAAGACATTTCTGTATCTTTGTCTTCATTCTTCATCTAAAAAAACTCGATGGTTCTACGTCATGTCTTCGCCATCGAGTCTCCAGAAGATTTTTTAACGTCTTCCCTGGTCCTGCGTCACTACTTCGGCTCATTTTCTTCGTCTTGGGTTTCCAGAGGCTTCTTCAAAGTCTCCTCTTGTTACCAAAGTGGACTGGTAAACCCACATTTCATCTACTTCACTAATTTATTCAAAATGAATTTAGAAGCAACTGAACAACATTAATGTCTTATTGTAGGTAGCTCCCGCCGAGCTAGAAGAAATCATCAGGGACTTCCCGGACGTCGTAGATGCCGCTGTGATCGGCATACCTCACCAAATTTACGGGGAATCCCCTAGAGCGTACATAGTCCCCAGGGTGGATAGCAAAATCGACGTAAAGAAACTAAACGATTATGTAAACAGTAAAGTCGCCCCTTACAAGCAATTAAAAGGGGGCATAAGTGTCGTCGACAGTATTCCTAAAAACGCTAGCGGGAAAATATTGAGGAGGCAGTTGAAAGTGATGTTTGAGAAAGAGAATAAATGATAAATTATAGTAATAAGGATTTTTTTAACAATTTTTTATATTTTGACTCGTTGGTGTTACTTAAGAGTATATTCTTTTAATAAAAGTTTTTATAAACGATTGTTTTCTTTTTACCGTGCCATGAATCTTATCATCTGTCAATGGTCGTTTTTGACACATGTCAAACTTGTTTGGTTAGGCAACAGAGACTTTATAAAACAAAACGCCGACAGTATTCCTAAAAAGGTTAGCAGGAAAATATTTAGGACGCTGTTTGAGCAAGAAAATAAATTACGAATTATGTAGGAATAAGGATATTAACATTTTTTTAAATTTTTTGAAGCGTTGATAATTACTTAGTATATAAAAGTATATTTTATAATATTTATTAATCATTTTCTTTTCCCGCGCCAGATCAGATAACCTTGGAATATGTCATCTGTCAATTGTTGTTTTTGACACCTGTCAATTGTTGTTTTTGACACCTGTCAATTGTCGTTTTTTACATCTGTCAAGCTTGTTGGATTAGGGGAAAAGGGTGGTGGAATTATAAAATAAAAATCGCACACAGCTTGTAGAATTTTATTAAAACATTCTAATAAAAATACATAATTCAAAAATACTGTTTGATAGTTATAAATTATCTTAATACTAAAAAAATTGCTAAAATTTCTTAGGCCGAGTTTTCATTTACCTTAACATCAGTTATTAATTATAGTGATTCAAAGTAACTACCACCCCATTTATAACTAACTGTTCTAGTAATAATACAAGAACTCTAGATTTAGCCACTCTGGATGGTTGTGAAAGTTAGATCACTATGCATAGTATTAAATTCTTTAAAAAAAAATCGTTAAAATATATGATTTTTCGGGTTACTTTAACTCACTATTAATATCAGTATACAGGGTGTAAGAAAAAAGGTCCTAAAAGGAGGTAGATATACCAAAAAAATCTTAATATAGCTAATAAGTACATTTTTATTTGGTCCTAAATAAAAAGACCCTACAAGTTAGACTCGTACCAGTATATCCTTGTGATCAAAAACATTTTTTTTATCACGCAAATATAGAAAAGTGGGTCTATTGCCAACAACTGTAACTGACATATATCACTAAAACTTTATTTTTGACATCCTTTAGAGATACTCGTACATTTTAGACAGATTGACATCTAATAATGTTTTGACATTGGAAAATTAATTCCAAACTGCTCTAAACAATTTATGAAGCCTGAAAAACATCACGGAGGGTAATTGTCATCTCATAAAATAATTAAAAACTGATTGTAGACGTTCCAGTGCGGTGGTTTGTTGAGAAATAATTGCCAGTGCACGTAACTAAGGTTGAAGATGCCTTTATATAAAAACGTTATAGGTTAAGATGGCTCCCACGTCCCACGTTTGCTGACAAGTATCCCAATGATAGAAGAAACTGACGTTAAGTTACTAAGAGAAAAGTAAATAGGAAGAGAAAGTAAAAGGAATAAAAAAAAGAAGAAAAAAATCTTTATTAAAAGACGAAATCACGACAAAACTGAGAAAAATTATCACCAAAGTCCGTAATGGAAAAAATTGAATCGAATTTCGTAATGAATTGTGGAAGCATCCATTCTACTCATCAGATTTGCCATCCTGTGGACATTATTTTTGACATTTAACATCCTTTATTATTCGAGTTGTAGAGTCCTGATTATATTTTTTACATCTCAATTTGAAATGAGATGTTCGTTTCATGCCAAGTGATTAGTTTGTTTAATTTTTGTTTAGATTTGAAATTTAGGTTGATTTCTAGCTTTAAAGGTCAAATTTAAAAAATATAAACTTCTAACTTATCATTGCCATTTTATCATATGACCATTAAAGTCTAGAGCGTTTGTTTATTACATCTACATTTAAATCTAATCCTCTATCATGTGATAAAAAATTCACTCACATCTCAGATGCATCCAATGTGGATATTCAAACGCAGCAATAGAATAAAGTAGTTTTCGATATGACACGATATGACGTACTTACTGGTGTCAAGAATGACAGGAAAGTAATCAAAATAGCGACTTAAGAGTCGTATTTTGATTTCTTTAAAGTTAGTGATTTTATAATTGAATATTGACGGAATGAAAGTATTTTTACATCATGTAAAAGCTACTTTAAAAAATGGCATTTGTTATTACCAAAACTGGCTAGCTCAAGTTCGTTTGACACATAACATAAAGGTGCGAACATTTTAATGGCGTTTTCTACTGGAATTTTTCAATGCGTTCTAAGTGTATTCTCACTTTCTTCTTTTCCATATCAATAAACAAGGACAAATAATATACTCAGTGCGAGCTGCCAGTACCAGTGAAAAACGCAACTAGTAACGTCGCAATGGAAACAAGCGTACACAATTTTATACAGATTGACATGTAATATTGTACTGACAATGGAAAACTAATTTCAAATTGCTCACTAAACAATTTCTGAAACCAAAACATCATGAAAGATTCTCACCAACTTGTACAATTCAAAACTGATGGTACCTTCCAATGCGGTGATTTGTTGAGAAATAATTGTCCCAACATCGGCCAGTGACTGTACTTAAGATTGAAGATACTTTTGTATAAAAAAGATGTAGATTAAGATGGCTAACGCGATTGCTGACAATTGCTTAAGTCATCCAATGACAGAAGAAAGCGGAGTGACAACATGCAGAGGAGATGAAGACAATGCAGAGGAGATGAAGACAACGCAGAAGAAACTGACGTTAAAGGTACTATTTTGGAACGTGAGACCGAAATAAAGGCGGTCGAAATGTGTTTTTACATCTGAATCACAAGTCAGTAAATGAAGTACATTTGGGACAGTGCAATCGATGAAAAAGACGCGACAGCACTTTTAACACGGCAGTATTTGCTACCTTTCTGTCTGTCGCTGTCGCCTTGCGTTGGTCTCGCGTTTCCAAATGGTACCTTAAGAAACTAGAAGAGAAAATGAAAGGAATAAGAATAGAAGAAAAAAAAATATTAAAAGACGAAATTACGACAAACGGAAAACTACAATACATTATCATCGATAATGGCAAAAATTTAATCGAATTTCGTCATGAATTGTTGAAGTATCCATTCTACTCAACATTATTGGGCATCCTGTGACCATTTCATATTTACAAATTCGAAGAAAATTCAATTCGAACGAAGATGTCATTGGCGAAAGTGCGTTAAGTTTAAAGACCATATTAAAAAAAAGACATTTTTTTTTAATTTATTGTTGACTTATCACACAGTCTATACTAGTAAGAGTCTATTCTTACTACTAAAACAATCTAAAGTTGGGTCAAAATGTATTTTAAATAACTCCAGCTTTGAACCAACAATTGATTTAGTTTTAGTACTTGTAGGGTCATATAAAATAACTGTATTGCAATTTAAATTTGTAAGATTCTTTAAAGAGTGCAAAACTCAAAATAAATTAAAAACTGTTTTTGTTAATTTAACAATAACGCCAATTTGACCATCTCAAATTAATTACGCAATAAATTAGCGTTACAGTTTTATTCTGTCACTGAAGATGCTAGCACAGTTAGCGAATACTTGTTGGGAGTATAAAAAAATAGTTTATAGTGACTGATAAAACTTGTCTTAAAAAAGATGTGAAAGAAAGAGAAAGAAAATTGAAAAATGCTTAAAATATAGTATATACTTGAAAATGTTGATTTGAGATAGTCAAGTAGAAATAAGTACACTCATTTTAACCCAAATATATGCTGGTTAAAATGAATGTACTTATTTCTGAGAATAAGCTACGCAAAATGAAAAAGAAAAAACATTAATTTTTCTTTAATTTCCGTTTCTCTAAAATATTAACAGTAGAAAAATAGATTTAACTTCTTTTGCAGCGCTATTATAAAGTATAAGTTCTAGAACCCATATTCCCTTCCATTTACTACACATATGGCCCGTAACAGGATGATGTTAGTCCCTACTATCAGCCCAGATTTGAAAATAATAGATCATCTATGAACTGGAACATCAGTTTATTGGACACCTAAATGAAGTTTGACGTATTTTAATGCAAAAAATGAACTTTCTGCCAACATACAATCTTAGGAATTTGATTAGAAGTCGATATTCTGAAAACCTCAAAATAAAAAGGACAATGACATCAATGTCCTAACCTTTGAACCTAATAAGAACATTTTAGGGATGAGGAAAGATTACTTGAACATTAGTACATTGGATTCCTACATGAAGTTGAATGACTTCTAATCCAATATTAGAACATTTTACCAAAATACATTCTTAGTAATTTAGAAAAAGGGCCATGGCATCGATGTCATAACAATATTAGTCCTGATTTAAAATTAATAGAATATTTTCGGGACAAATTGGAAAGAAGATTACTTAAACGTTAATCCATTACACCTAAATGAATTTGGACGTTTTCTAATCCAAGATTGGGATATTTTCCTAAAAGAAAACCGTAGAAATTTGGTTGGAAGTGGATATTCTGAAGACTTCCAAATAAAAAGGAACATTACATCAATATTCTAAAAATATTAGAGCTGATTTGAACCTTAAAGAATATCTTCAGGACAAAATGGAAAGATAATTACTTAAATATTAGTCCATTGGACACCTAAATGAAGTTAAATGTCTTCCAATAAAAGAAAGGGACATTTTATCAAAATAAATTCTTAGGAATTTTATTGAAAATTGATATGCTGAAGACTTCCAAATATAAAATGTCATGTCTTAACATTATTAGTTTAGATTTGAAGCTAACAACATCTTTGGGACGAATCGGAAATATTACCTGACCATTAGTCTATTGGACATCTACATGAAGTTAGATATTCTGAAGACTTCAAAATCAAAAAGGCCATGACATTAATGTCTTATAACATTTGAACCTAATAAGAACATCTTCGGAATGAATTGGAAGAAAGATTGCTTGAACTAAAAAATTCCATGACATCAATATTAGTTCTGATTTGATCCTAATAGAATATTTTCTGGACAAATTGGAAAGAATATTACTTGAACATTAATCCATTGGACACCTAAATGAAGTTAGATGTCTTCTAATACAAGAATGGGACATTATAACAGAATACATTTTTAGGAATTTGATTGAAATTCGATGATGAAACCTTCCAAATAAAAAGGACCATGACAACAATGTCCTAGCAATATTAGCAAAAAAGATTTGTATTTCGTGCAAAATAAATAATTTTGCATGAAATACAAATCTTTTTTTGATAATCTAAGCTACGTGCACGCAGCCGTTTGATTCCTGATTCCTTTAACTAACAATATTAGTCATGATTTGAACCTAATAGAACGTCTTCAGGGCAAATGGTTAAAAAGATTACTTGATCATCACTCCATTGCACAATTAAACACAGTTAGACGTCTTTTAATACAAAAATGACATATTTTATCAAAAGAAAACCTTAGGAACTTCATTAAAAATCGATATGCTGAATAATTCCAAATACAAAGGACCCTGACATCAATGTCCTAACATTATTAGTTTTGATTTGAAGCTAACAGAACATCTTCGGGACAAATTGGATAGAATATTATTTGACCATTACTCCATTGGACACCTAAATGAATTTAGACATCTTTTAATAAAAAAATGGGATGTTTTGTCAAAAGAAAACCTTGAGAATTTAATAAAAAAATCGATATGCTTAAGAATTCCAAATAAAAAGGGCCACGACATCAATGTCCTAATATTATTGGTTTTGATTTGAAGCTAATAAAACTCTTTGGATGAAATGGAAAGAATATTACTTAACCATTAGTCAATTAGACATCTAAATGAAGTTAGATGTCTTTTAATCCACGATAGGGACATTTTATCAAAAGAAGATCTTAGGAAGTCGATGTGCTAAAGACCTCTAAATAAAAAGGACGATGGACATCAATGTTCTAACATTATTAGCCTCGATTTGAACCAAATACAGCATCCTCGGAACAAACTTGAAGTTCAAGAATGAGACATTTCATCAAAAGAAAACATTAGGGAATTGGCTTAAAAATCGATATGCTGCAGATGTCCAAATAAAAAGTACTATGACATCAATGTGATAACATTAATAATTTTGATTTAAAGCTAATAAAACATTTTGGGGACAAATTGGATAAGTTGGACGACTTATAATCCATAATTGAGGCATTTCACTTGAACATTATACGAATTTGATTGAAAGTCGATGTGCCGAAGAAGAAGAAGAAGACTTCTTTTTTTTTAATTTAGGTAGCTTATTTCTCTTTTTGCGTAGATATTGACGAACCTATGGAAACGAATATTGAGTTAATATAATTAACTTTTGGTAATATATAAATATCACTAGTGTTGTAAGTACTTTTTGAATTATTGCTCTTACAGGATGTCCAACAGCGAATGCAATCAGTAACCAATAACGACAATGGGACAGCGTATCGTATATTTGCCCATCAAAGAAAAAAACATTAGCTTACTAGTTTCTTTGATTGATTTTTCTGTTGAAAACAACCCGATTCACAAAAATTTACTAAAAAGAAACTAAATTTAAAGCTACGATACCACTTTAAATCTTATTGCGAAAAATACACTAAAAAAAATTCTATTTAAGAGCTAAACTATAAAGGAATGATAAAGTTTCAATTTTATTTTATTGTGTATAACTATTACTACTAATTAAAATTTCATTAATTATATTAATTTGAGTTATATTGTCGCAGTTTCACAACAAAAATATCACAAGCTTATTCATCAGAATAGTCGATCGTCTTCTCTAATTTATGGTTTTTATCTTTAAATTACACAAAGTACTAAGAAAGGCTAAAAGGGCCACATAATACATTTTTTTTGAGTGTAAATTCGGAATTTCGACTTAAATATTAAAATTTCGAGTTTAAAGTAAGTCGGAATTTCGTGTTTAACGTCAAAATCCCAAGTTTAAAGTATAAATTCTGAATTTAAAATATAAATTCCAAATTTAAAAGTCGAAATTCCAACTCTAACGTCGAATTTTCAACATTAAAGTCGAAATTTCGTGTTCAAAGTCGAAATTCCGAATTTAACGTCGAAATTTCGAGATAAAGTTCCAAATTTAATTTAGAATTAAAGTCGAAATTTCAAGATTAAAATCGAAATTTGGAGTTAAAAAGTTTCAAAGTCGAACTTTCGTGTTCAAAGTCGAATTTCCGAGTTTAAAGTCAAAATTCCGAATTTAACGTCGAAATTTCGAGATAAAAGTCTAAATTTAATCTAGAATTAAAGTCGAAATTTAAAAAAAATAGATGTTGCTCTCCTACATTTTCGTAAATTTTCGTATAAACAAACTTATTTTTTTCTGTCTGGCTTGACATCATAACTGCGTGTGAGACAGGAAAAAATAAGTAATTCGTAAAATAAAAAAAAATCCAGCGTATATCTAAGAAAATATAGAGGCAAAAATTTATTTGCATTGTATAAAGGAAAGTTCAATTAGGGCGCTTTATTTTCATTTACTAAAAATTCGACTTAACTATAGTTACTATAAGAGCAATTGATCTTGCAACAAGGCAATAACTAAAATAAAACGTATGCGGTATGAGACAATACGTCCGTGAAAAAAAAATACTTATGTGGAATATTGAAAATTAGCCATTCAATGTACATTGGCGCAGAACGGCAACATAGGATTGCTAGATCAATTCTCGTTTTTGTTTCGCAAATTTAATTAAAAAGGCAATACGGCGCAGTGTAAAATTTGTAAGTACTATATATAATATAATTTGACTTAAAGCGGTGTCATCAGTTTTTCTAGATTACCGCCCTATTAGAAATGACTACGTTTTCACCTGGTTAGCAATGAATATCTATAAATACGCCAGATTAGTGTAACTTAATTTTGGTTCCACTAACAATGAACTGAACAAAATAAACCATTGTTACTGAATTTGACATATACTTAGTTTTTTTTTTTAATATCGTTGGCAGGTCATAAATATGTAACCAAATTATTTTTAATATTTACATTAATACAATCTTGAAAATAATAGAAATAAAATTTTAATGAATACCTATAACCTCTATTTTTATAAGTATAATGTCAATGTAATTTTCAGTGGAACCAAAAATAGGTCGTCACTAATTTAGCGTAATAAACTTCCCACAAACGTCAGAATGTATAAAAACTGTAACACAATTATCATTAACATATGGTTGAAGGCGTTCTCGGTGAACTCGGACTGGCTGGTGTGGTCGGTGCTTCCGATTCCTGCCGCTGCAGGAACAGTTCCAGTTCCTCAGGGCGGGTGGCACCGAGAGATCTCGATAAACTGTGTCTAAACCTGTTTTAAAACGTTTAAATGTCCGTCAGGAATGTTGAAAACTACTACTCCAAGATCCCAACTTAAGTCGGGATCTTTTTCTTAATTAAATATATACAATACAATGTATAAATAAACACAATGTGTCCGGGTTGGTGCCCCATATCCGATCCAGGCTATTTTTAATTTAAAATTGTTTATTTTTTCCTCGAAAAATGTAATACCAATCGATAATAAAAGCTGTAAATAAAACGCCCCAAAGTAGGATTGGCTACCTTTTTCCTAGCTATAATACCGAGTTGACAGGTACAAACAGGTAAGCTGATATACGTAATTTACCTTCATCATTTTTTTTTAATAGTTTATATTATATAAAAATGTAGATCATTTTATTACAAACACGGTGGTATAGGGTCGCCAAAGTTGGCCGATCTTATTAGGGTTGGCGAGATTTTAAGTTTGGAAAGAGGGTGGGACTTGACAGAAGTACTGCGCGTACTATAGGAAGTTTCTGAGTAAAAGGGAGTACCTCTTGTAATTGAAAAATACAAATCTATTACCGATAATCCGTTCTTAAGTAACCACGTTTTCTGTATATAGTCTATGTTTGTAAACGTGCTACACTGTTTCTATTCTTTATTGGTATATTTTGTTCAAAGTTTATTATAAAAAATGAAAGTGTTGTTTATGCGCCGAGGAAGATTCTAAAATACTTGATTTTGAAGATTTAAGAATTACTATTTCGTTGAAAAAAGCTTTAAATATCATGATGTTCTGTTAACCAAAAAGTAAGTTGAGTATTACACATCGAGTCACAAAAAAAATAGAATTAGGAGAAAAAAAAATTAATGAAAAATACATTAGATATAAATTATGACGCAAGAAGTATATTCTGTCACAAATAGTGAAAACTAAATTTTGAAGAATTTCTGATTATTTCAATGGATCATCCTTCAAAATTTTATTTCAATAATGCAACTTCTGATGATACTGAATAATTCTTTGTAATTGAACATTTTTAAGATATATCTTTTTTATTAATTAACCGTTTTGTTAATAAAATAACTAAAATTTAAATAGTTAATCCAAAACGGATTCTCGGCAAAAGAAAGCTTTAGTTTTTAGTTTTTTTTATAAAAATCCGGTCCTTTTCAGGAACACAAATGAAGACACAAGTGGATGAAGGGACTATGCAACATTTTTTTTAAATGGTGTTTTTCTGTGAATGAAGGGCTTATGTCTTCCGTGAGAATATATCATCAAATATAGAAGTTGCCAGTGGATAAAGGACCCATGTACTAGGGAATAACTGCCAAACAATAAACTTTAACACGAAATATCTCAAAAAAATTATTTTGCTACATAGGCCCTTCATCCACTTGTGTCTTCAAATAATTTTTTTGAAGATGCTAGATAAAATTGAATACCTTCATTTTATTACAATAACATAAGATTAGTGTTAAGTATTGAGTATTTTTTCACTGATCTATGGTCATTAAGCCTCGGTTATTGTGAAGGCAGAGAGATATTACAAATTAACTTCTTCTTATCCAAGATTCACTTAAGATCAGTTTAGGAATCTCGACAGTCAATGTCGTTGATAGTCTCACGGTAAGGGTACACGTCTGGCAAACGTGGAGGTGTGGGTTCGACTCCCGACGATGAAAGGTATTTTCAAATCTACAAGTATTTATTTTCACATTTGGGGAAAGGGGATGGTCTAAATAACTCGTAAGGGGATTTTTGAGATTTGTTTCCGAATTTTCAAATTATTTAAAAACTTATTTCAGATAATTCTGATTTCGATTTGCGATGTACGATATATTAAATTCACAATTTTAAAAACAGAAAGGCTAAAGTGATCATTCTGGAGAAGGATTTAAAAACCCCATTTTGGTAGTAAGTATTCTTTAGTAAGTTATTAAGTTATTGCATAGCTTTTATCGCGGGCTTTGAGCGTGGCGACCGAATCAAGAAAAAAAAACGAAACCGTAACGAAAAAAAAAACCTAACACCCCCCACTCCGACCGGCACAGCGGTGCGGCTTTAAACAATATTAACTTCTCATTTATTCAATAAAAGAAAATCGAAAAATCGGGGACTGCCAAAATTGATTGGCTCACAAACCAGTGTTGCCAGTCTAATACAATTCACAAATAGCTACGTTCGTTTGATCTGTCTACAGGCACAGCATAATTTTGTAAATAACCGTAGGAATAGAGTAAGGGTTATATTTTAATATTTTATCATTCCATTTATTTTATTTTGCATAATAATTATTTTTCTTTAATTATATTTGACTATAAATATGAGACACGGGAAACTGGCTGAACACTAGTTCTTTTTGGTCTTAATAGGTTGGCAACATTTTTCTTTAGAAATTTGTCAGTTCTGTAATCGAACTGTCACTTTTTTTTTAATAATTTGTTTTTTTCGGCCCTTCCCGATTTAATTTTTGGAAGAAGATGGCCGTTGGGACTTAGCTCCGCATTGTGTTAAATAGTGTTGAGTAATAATTAGTTTCCGAGCTTTTTGTTTTGTCCAAGGACCCCGTGCCAATGTTACTTTAATTTTGGATGAACCTGGTTTTTGACCAAAATCTGAGGCAAGTGAGACGCCGAGAGATACTTTTTTCCACGTGTTGCTGGATCCCGGTAGCAGAGAAAACTCTCAAAAGAGGTAAGTCATTTCCTTTGCTGCTCCTGCATTTTCTTGGTCTGGCAAAACACTCATTTCAATATATATATAGGGTTCTTCCCGTGGATGAACAAGAGAGCCACATCAAAGAATGGATTTCTGTCTTGCCAATATGCTGGTCCATTTTATTTACCCTGCGAAGCAGAGATTTCCTTTTTATTTCAAACGTCCTTACGATGGTCCCGTGTCCCAAGCAGTCCTGTAACATGATGAGCTTCGGTGTGCAGTGTGTAGCCTAACAGAGGGCTCTTTCTAGTGCCGCTGTCAGACCTATGATTATATTTTGGCATTTATTTTTTGTTTAATTTTAACAATATGTTCGTAATGTCTATTTAGTCACTTATACTATATTTTGAAACGGGTGTTTCTTTATTTTCTGTATGATTTGGTTTTAAAAATACCTTTTGTTTCTTTTATTTACAACCAGTTTGTAAATATTATTTTGAGTACTCAAAACAATATGCCTTAATTTTAACAAGACGTCTCGGATAGGTATAAATAAACCTTCTTATTTTATTATTCATATATTTCTCTAACTATTGGCGAATGAATTGAGAGGATATTCTCAATTACACCATTTCTATTGACTATAAATTTAACTGTTTAAAAATGAATTGAGTATTTTCAATTATATTGTTTCTACCGTTTATAAATTTAAATGTTGATAAGTGGATTGACAAAATACTTCCAATTTTATTACTTTTAGAGTTTGATTCATCAAACAAATTGAGAAAATATTGTTAATATATCACTTTCATTTATTTTTCTATTAAATTCAATTTAAATTATGTATGACTTTTATTTCACAGAATATCATGAATATCTCTAAAAGTGTCTATTTGCAGTTTCATGTATTTATGGTTTAATTATTTAAATTTTATTTACTATGGTTTCTGAATTTACCTTTAGATTTTGAAAGCTTCTTTATCAAATAATACCAAATTTTTTAATCTATAAAATATTCAGTGGCGTCCATCTATGGTTTAAATACTCTTTTTTGTATTTTATTTAAGTGTATCTAAAGTCAGTTTATAATAATTAAATTTCAAGACAACAAATCCTTACTCACACCCTTATTCCTCCGACAGTAGAGCTGCTATGATGTATATAACCTAAACTCTTTGTCAAAAGAAAAAATAGGTTACAAAGTTGAATATTATTGTTGAACTTTTTAAATTGTTTATTTTACCTTATACATTTTTTCTACTCTTCTTACAGTATTATGTCAAGAGTATTATAGGTCTACTGTCTGTCCGATGTCACGTTTTTTGTCTACACGATAAGTCAAAAACGAGAAATGATATGAACTTGAAAATTTTAAGCAAAAATCAAGCTCTATAAGGGGACAAAGCCTAATGATTTTTAACAAATCTGATTAAAAATAGGGGGTTCAGATGGGTTGAAATTAAAAAAAATCCTAATTTAAAAACGAAAAGCAATATCAATATGAAATTTTTAGTAAAAATGAAGCTTTATAAGAAGATAAAGCCTATTGATACTGAAAAAATATGAATATATTGGGGAGTTAAAACATAAAAAAAATCCTAACTGAAAAACTTGAAATTTTTAGCAAACATCAATCTCTAAAAGGAGAAGAAGCCCTTTCATTATAAAAAAAATCTGATTAAATATGGGGGATTTAAGAGGGGTTGAAATTAAAAAAAAAATCAAAAATAAAAATCAAGATCTATAAGGAGATGAGGACTATTGATTGTGAAAACAATCTGCTTAAAAATGAGGGTTTTAAGGGGGTCTGTTAAACTGCGAATAGTATCATTTAAAATGCCAGGCATTATATATCTTTGTTCTAGTTTGTGTCTGTGTATTTAAAAAATATATTTTTTATTTCTTATCTGTGACAAATTGTGAAAATTATTAAACTTACAATAAAAACTAAAAAAATGATAGGTAAAGTTTCATATAAAGTTTTTTACACAAAAATGATTGTCAAGCTTTCTACATAACCAGATATATATTTAAAAATAATCTCAAATTATGAAGAAAAGTCAGTTTACTAACTAATAATGTTTATAGATGGTTTTCAACGTATTAAAAACCAAACAAATATCACACTAACTAAAATATTCATTTATTAATAGTTGTATGGCTTGAAAACAGTATGATGTTGATAATAATTACACTTAATACAAACTCAAATAATAAAAAAACAGCGATATTGACTCTTGTACAAAGTTTTGATCCGAACTTACATATGATATGGAGCCAAGAATCCATCGCGCTTGCAACCGAAAGACGTGTTATTCAGTGGTACACGGACGGTTCCAAAACCATAGAAGAAACTGGAATAGGAGTGTATGGGCCGAGAACCAAGCACTCCGAAAGCTTGGGAAAATACCCAAGCATCTTCCAGGCGGAAATTCACGCCATCGAGAAGTGTATCCAGTTTAACATCGAGAGAAACTATCATAGACAAAAGATTATCATCATGTCTGATAGTCAAGCAGCCATCAAAGCGCTGAGTTCTTACGTAATCAGCTCAAAAATGGTATGGAGATGCCTAGAACAATTGAATGAGCTAGGCGAGAAAAATAGAGTTACTCTCACTTGGGTCCCGGGACATAACGCGGTACAGGGTAACGAGATTGCAGATAGTCTTGCAAGGAAAGGGGCTCAAACACCCTTTGTAGGACCTGAGCCGTTCTGCGGTATCAGCAGTAACATAATATTAGAAGAGATTAAAAAAGAATTGGGTAGTAGAAGAACCGATAATTGGAACAATCTCTTGGGACTGAGACAGGTCAAGATACTTCTGGGTGAATATAACCAAAAAAGATCGGAAGCCTGCATCTGCCTGAGCAAGAACAGGCTACGTATTGTAACAGGGATCCTTACCGGGCACTGCCGACTAAAAGGACACCTAAGTAAACTGAAAGTAGTAGAGGATAGTGAGTGCAGATTCTGTGAGGAGGAGGACGAAACCTCCATTCACATCCTAACTGAATGTGTAGCACTCCAGAATCCAAGGCACTATATCTAGGAGGATATCAAATAGAAGAGGGAGACTTACCTAACTTGAAGCCACTTCAAATCCTACACTTCCTTGAGAAAATAGGATTGGAAGGGTCGCTATAGTGCAGTGGCGACAGAAGGGGGCACAATAGATCTTTTAGGTCGCAGTGTATTAACACCCCATTATCAACATAACATAACATACATATGATAAAATTATTGGAAAAACTGAACACCCATTTTCAATTACTACAAGCCGCCACTGATCAGGATTCTACATTTTTATATATAAAATATTAAGAAAAATGACACTTCTGACACGTTATGTTTATTTATACATTATATTTCTATAAAATATATATTTCATTAGAAAAAAGGATGAGGAACTTTTAAGTAGTTCCAGCTAATAATAAGTTTGGGAAGTAGAAGTTTGCCGCACGCCAGTGAAGCTCGCTCTAGCGCAGTAAAAGCTCAATAATTAGTTCGAGATAACCCTGAACGAAAAACACAATAAGCAAGTAGAAACACACTAATATTTTACTTAAACGTACATTCAACAAATTAAAAGCAAGTTTTAAGCAGTTTTTGTTCCAGAAATAAGAGTTTTCTCTTGTATGTTGAGTGTGTAAGAGAGGGAAAGGAAAGAAAGAAGTACATTTATTTTGCTATTAAAAAACAAATTTAGGGATAATGTTATAAAATGAAATTAAGTGGTCAGGATTGGATCTAGCGTCCCGAGATTTTAACCTTTTCTTTTGTAAAAACGCCGAGGGTGGAACAAATAATCAATATTTCGTACCTTGAAAATAAAAGTGACACTTTACAAAAATGAACAATTTATAGATTACTTTTAACTTTTAATATTATTTTATCATGTCCTGTAAAATTTACTATTAAAATACTACTCATGGCAATTATTTTGTTATTAATGGAAAAAAAAAAATATTTTAAAAACAGACCCTCAACGAACTGTTTTATAATGTCACTTTTATTTTGAAGATGCGAATTGTAAATAAAACTTAAATTCATTTTTTATCACTTTCCCGACATCAAAGCTTACATGTTCCCCAAAAATATTAATTGGATATTTACCGCTCAATCTTGGAACTCGTCTTGTAAATGTAAATTATGTCTTGAAAAACAAAAAAAAAAGGAAACTTAAATTATTTTTTATATTTTTTTTTCGCGCTAATGAAAAAAATAAGAATTAACTACTCGTAAATCGTAGAACTCGGGCAACAAAGTAATGAAAGTGTTATATTAATTTAATAATAATATAGAAATAAAACATTTTTTAATTTAAAGTGAGAGGATAGGATTATATTAATATAATCATGTCTTTAATATTCGTCAGAATACTACAAATAAGTAAAAACAAACATTTAAAAATTTCACCATAAACAGATTTCAGAACAAGTCAGAACAATAAAAAAATATTAAACATCAATCATCGCAAAAATCAACATCTTAATCAGCTTTAGAAGTGATTTACTATGTAGAAACCTTGCGAACTGTTCTCCGTGTGTCCACAAGATTGCAATGGTTTTAATTATTTAATAATTTTGTAAACTCTGTAGTTACGAATCGAATCATTGTCTCATCGTTATTTCGAAATATGTAAGTCGAATAAAAATTCTAAGGCTCTGCGAATGTTCTAACAGCTAAAAATGGCGACTCTAATTTTTATGATCATTTACAAATATTTACAATATTAGTTTTACTACTTTTTTCCAATCAGACTCATTACTGTACTGCCCAAAGTCCCAAATAAGCAAAAAAAAAACTAGCATACAAATGTTTATAGTGGTAGTTAATGATAACTCACCTGCTAAGGCGTTCTTTTTCTCTAAGCTTCTTTAACCTACTAAACTCATCGTCTTCATCTTCATCGGTTGCCGAACCACCTATACTAACTTTATCAGGATCATCGGTACCATTGTTAGATGTACCCGGCACTGATCTCGACAACTGAGGGAACGGATCATAAATGTTTGGGTCCCTGCAATAAACCGGTTTTATGAGAGGAGCTCCTCAATTCATAGTTTGGTAAAGTCAATCCGGATAGAGAAGCTACCAATATATCACACTTCATGCATCGACATCATCGTTTCAAATCATTACAGGCGTGTACTTTTATTCAGCGCTGTATCCAGCGCTTGCAGCAAACCGTTCCTAAATTAAGCAATGGAAAGACGATTCTATGTGTCAATCGTTCTTTTTTCCAGCGGTGAGTTCACCAATGAGCCAACGCATCCATCATCTTTAAAAGCCGATGGATATGTGATGGATGAATGGACGGGATAGTTAATCGATTTGTTTGAAAGAGTGAACACGATTATTTAGATTAAAGTTAACCTACAATATAAGAGTTTAAATATAAAACGGCTACAGAAGAAATAAATTGCTATTAATTTAAATTAAAACGGGTTTAATTTTTAAAGCGATATCAAACGTCAAATTTTTCATTCGAGAAATGTCGTTCGTTCTTATATTCAGCGCAAATACCTTCCACCAGAACTTACATATACGATTTAGTTGTTGATACGATCGGTAAGCATAACAAACAAATTCACCAGTGCTGTGCTACCGATGGTACCCAAACGATCGATAACAGCGGGCCAGTGCGCATCGTGACGTAATGGTATCTTCTCTATTCGGATTCGCTTTACACTTACATATTATAACTGTGCGATAAAGGCACATCTATAGGCGTTGAAGGAGATGGTGGTCCAAAAAAACCCATTACGGAAGGGCGAGATTCTTTAGCAGACCGCTGAGACGTTATAGTTTGTTGCTCATCGACCTAAAAACGGAAAACTTTGAAAAACATACACCGAAAAACGTTACACAGGAATTTCTACCTCTTCTATCACTTCTTGCGCGATTTTCTTAACACTGCCAGCAGGTTTGGGTACCGGTTGCAATACCAGAGTGTTCAATTCGTTCGCTTCCACTTTCGCGTCGCTCTTGCTATCATCTTTGCTGAAGAATCGCTTCAGCATGTTCGTTACGGAATTGTGGCGCGATATAGTTTCTGCTACAATATTATTATTATAAAGTCAGAAGATTAAATACAACTCTACATCAGTACCATGATACACAAAAATTTAGAGGTATGATACAGAATAGATTGTAAAAAGTAATAATAATTAATAAAATTCGATTGTAAAAATTGAGATTATAAAAATAATCGATCGTAAAAATCGATTGTGAAAACTGCATTGTAAAAAATCTATTATAAAAATAGACTAAAAAACTCATGGTTAAAAAGAATCGATTGCAAAAAGTGTTAATAATTAATAAGAATTGATTGTAAATTGGATCGATTGTAAAAAATATAATCGAGTGTAAACACTATAGATTTAAGTATCATTGCAAAAAGAATGCTAAAAACCGATTTTGAAAAATTCATTATAAAATATCGATTTTAAAAAGTATTGACAGTAAAAAACAAATGGATTGTAAAAATTATATTGTATATGTAATAAAAAGAACCGATTGTCAAAAGAATTAATAGTAAATAAGAATCGATTGTAAATTGAATAGATTGTAAAAAAATTATCGAGCGAAAACAATATCGATTAAAAAGTATCATTGCAAAAACTTATAAAATCGATTATGAAAAATCCATTATATAATATCGATTCCAAAAAGTATTAATAGTGTAAACGAATAGATTGTAAAATTCTAGATTTTAATAATAATCGATTGTGAAAAATCTATTGTAAAAATAGACTGTAAAAAGAATCGATTATAAAAAGTATTACTAGTAAAAAAGAATCGATTGCTAATTGCGTCGATTGCAAAAAAATTGATTTTGAAAAGTCCATTATAAAATATAGATTTCAAAAAGTATTAATAGTAAAAACGAATGGACTGTAAAAATTATTGATTTAAAAAATAATCGAAATAGTAAAAATGGCGATTGTAAAAAAGAATCGATCGTAAAAATCGATTGTGAAAAATCTATCGTAAAAATAAACTGTAAAAAGAATAGATTGTAAAAATTACTAATAGTAAGAAAGAATCGATTGTGAATTGCGCCGATTATTAAAAAAAATTGATTGTAAAAAGTAAAAAATATTCTATTATAATGAAAGAATCGATTGCATGACGAATCGACTGTAACAAGAATCGTTTGTAACAAGTATCGAATGTAAAAAATCGACATTTACCTGGTACAGATCTTCCGTAGAGGGAACTTTGGGACCCCCTGGACCTAAAAGAATTCCTGGGCTTAGCGGAAAAGGTGATGGGACCGCCGTCCAATCCGTTGTAGGACTGCATGTCGTCCAATTTATTCGGCGGGTACAAACCGGGGTTGGGATGGGACAATTCCATGTCCTGGGGTCTGTTGGCTATGTTAGCGGTGGACGGTAAGGGATGCGCGTCCCTTATAGCTCGCGATGCTTCGGTGTACGGGAGTTCCTGCGGGAAAACTTCGTCCCAGTATTGGTCTTTTACCAGTTCAGGGTGGTCGTGGTGAATTTCGTCGACAATTAGATAGGAAACCTGGAAATTTAGAATGTCTTTATAACCTACAACGTATACGAGTATAGTTGAAATTTATACAAACCTGTAGGTTTCTATCCACCATCCAATTTACTTCAAAGTCGTCGTCATCGTCACCAAAAGGATTGATCATTGATTCGGCTACTTTAAGCCAACCAATGTAGAAAAAAAATTGTAAAGTTGTAAATACTGGAAAATATAAATCGAATTTGTACTTGTTATCAGTGGTCCACTGATGAGCCATAACGTTTGTTATAAAATAACTATAAACTGCTAAAGTCACTACCTGAAAAAATTAATATAAAAAAACTACTTCATTTCCAATACATTTCGGTTGCCATTTCTCACCTGAGTGTAAACTAATGGAATGTTAATATGGTCGTAGGTCAATAATAATCCACATTGTCCTCGGAATTTGTTTATTTCATCTATAATAGTTTTGACTGCAAAATCGTCTCTAATACGACCTTCTTTACGTGCTCTGGTAACTATACTAGACGCCCAAACCAATGGTAACCTAAAACCCCGCAAGTGTAATATGTTCAAAACTTTTATACGAAAAATATTCAGTAAAGAAGAAAACGAAATAAATGTCCAAGGCTATAAGTGTCACTTGTATCTGTCAATTGTAACTGTCAATTGTAACTGTCAATTGTAACTGTCAATTGTAACTGTCAATTGTAACTGTCAATTGTAACTGTCAATTGTAGCTGTCAATTGTAACTGCTAATTATAACTGTCAATTATATCTGATAATTGTAACTGTCAATTGTACGCTTTAATTGTCAAATGTAATTATCAATGGTAACGTTATAAACTAAAAACTAATTAATAGTCAACTATAAATATTCATTGTGTCTGTCGCACTTGATCATTTACTGGTGGGTTCTAGTTAACTTAGTTCATAAAGTAGCGATGGAAAACAATAACAAAGCTTACTCTCTTTAACAAATCGATTACGAAACGCAATAATTTACCAGTGTTTGGAATATTTGGGGAATTTGCTATTCAAATCGGACATGATGTCCTTTTCGCTGGGTTGCAGTAGACCGGCGTCAACGAAATGTTCTAAACTGGGAAAACGTTTCTTAACTCTAGGTGAGATCATGGTGAATACCATCGTTACGCAGAGGCAGATGTAGCGCATGATCGTTCTTCTCATAACTCGCCCACGCTCGTCCTGAAAAACGTGCATTCTAAATAAATGGCGTGTGAAATGCAATTACCTATCATTAAATGTTATTAAAGTTGTCTGCAAATGCATGCAATCTAAAGTGTTGGTATTTCCAACATTTTAGCAAAACAATAAACGTAACAAAGAAAATTACTAGTGGAGGAATACTAATAAGCATAAAGAAAAATATAAAATTTTAAAAGTTGTTAAACTATGTAATTATGTTGAGGCATTCGATGTGCAAATAAAAATAAACGATGTTAATATGTTCTTTTCAATATACATATCTCCTGGATGTAAACATTATAAAGAACTAATTTATTTCTTTATTTATTTTTTTTTTTTTAAGAAACTAGAGGGACATTAACTAATCTGCAATTACAAGAATTAATTATAAATTTTCATTAACAACTTTTTAAAGGATTTTCTTGATTTTAATAGTATAGGATTGATAATTTTCAATGGAAAACATTGTTTCTAATTATTAGTTCTTTGAATAATGTAAGAAATTGTTCTGTTAGGAAGAATGATTTTTCCAATAAATATTTCTATTATCCTGCACTTTAATCTTCCATAACAATATTAAATAAATATAAATGTAGATAATTAAACAACAACAGTTCCCAACGAACCTAAATACAATATTACAAAATTTACTTTCTTTTACTTAGAGAAACAGTAAACCAAATGTAAACATGTATTTAGATATTATACAATTTAGAATGGAATTGTCAATGCTTGTGTACCCAAATTGGAAGTAACAAGAAGTAAAAATAAATGATCTTATTGATTTACTAAAAAAAAAAATATGGCTCTTTTAATAGGAAAAAAGAAATTTAGAAGGTTAAGGAAAGTTTATGATATATTTAATAAACAATTTATAGATTTAAGAAAAAAAAAATGAATAAGAACGGAAGAAAATAAATATTTAAATAATTTACAACAGAACAATCGAATTATATTAATAAGAAAAAGGAAAACTCGGTAAATTATGAAAATTATGTGTGACCTATTTAGATTGGAAATACCTCTGTAAAATTTAAAATTAATCGATTTCAACCAAAATTTTTTTTAATGTCAAGTAACAAACATCTATCTATTGTTACGCAGCACCCTGCAGCTATTATAGGAAACGTACAAATAGAAAAAGAAGTGGAATGTTACTCATCACCCTACAGTGTTCTGCGGTCGTCATAAGTAAAAGTACAAGTAAAAGAAGATACATTAGTCCAGAAATGTCCGGAAATGTCATTAATCGTCAAGAATATTCTAGACGACAGTTCGAGAAGCTATATAAGGATGATACTGACGTCAGTTTTCAGTTTTTATGATAGACGTTACATGTTAATGTTATGAGTTGTATATTTGTTGTTAAAGTTGAGTTAAAAACAAATTGCGATACCAAAAACCTGTGTAACACTATTTTGGGAAAAAATTAAAAAGTTTTTTTCAACGTTCAGGGCATGGTCGAAACTGAAGTTTTATTAGCGATTTATTATAAAAAAAAAGATATTACGCCACTGGATTCAGAGTACCTCCTAATAGCTGTGACCAAAATTTTACAAAAATATAGTTACAACCACTTAAATTTCAAAAATTAATAAGGTAATTATTATTTTAATAATTGTACCAATAATCCACCACTGGATGAAAAAATTTTTAAAATACCTAACATTAACAATTAATGAAAGTAATTAGAATTAGATTTAACTTTACACGCAATTAAACTAATAGCCCAAGAGCTCGCTGAAAATTTTAGCCGTCATCTGATAATGTTCAGATTTAAACATTTTTCTTTATATATGTCGTAGGCTCATAGTGAAATGCACCTTTTTATAAAGATCCCCTAGTAATCACGAAGCGTCGGCATATTGTTTAAAATCATGAAGTTACATAATCTGACAAGGCTTTTCATGAAGAGCCCGTAGTATTTCGTCAAATTGTGTGTAACACAACCTGTCTAAATTAAATTTCATGAAATGCCCACAAAGACAACGCATAGTGAGCATAAATGACTCTTCCGAGCTTATTACCGAGACATTGGATTATATATAGGGCTAGTCAATATTAAACAGAACTCTTTTCTTTGATGTTACACACATCTCTCCTTATCCACGCTCCACCTAGTAACAACATCCGAAATTTCACAAAAGAAGATTGGCCACTCTTTCAGAGAACTATCTCTGCAAACATTTCTGAGCAACGGGGAGTTAAGCAGGACTCCCCACCAGACATCGACACAATGGTAGCCGAAGTCCAAACCACCATCTCCCACGCAGTCGAAACATCTGCCCCAATCACCTCCATAAACACTTCACAAAAATCCCTTCCCCAATGCATCCTAAATCTCATCTATACGCCGACGATACAGCTCTACTCTCAGTAGCCAAAAATACTGACCAACTAAATACTCGAACCCAAAACCTGTTAAACCAGTATTCTCGCTGGTGAAGCAAATGGAGGGTCTCATTAAATCTACAACTAGTCAATGTAAATCTCCTGGGAGTCAGGCTCGCTCAACAGACCGAAGTTGACTATTTGGAAGTACGATTCTCTCGTACACTCAACTGGTCCTCTGATGTCCAACGCTCTCTTGATAAGATGCGAAAACGAGCAAGTCTCCTTGGGGCTTTGTGCGGACGAATGAGGAGTTGCAATACCAACACCCTAATTTTCACATATAATTCTTTTACCCGCCCCGTTGCCGAATACAGAGCGGTACCCTATGGCGTACTTCCCACACACCTGGCCCACAAATTCACCACACTCAGACATTGTCAGTACCTCCCTTATCGTTCTCGAAAACATTTCCAACGCCCTCATTCTCACACGTTTCCAAACCCTCAGGAAATAATACGTCTCTCGCACGCTGAAATGCACCAACACACACTCCCAAGACACACTACAAAACCCATGGCGCCCACGCCGCCTCCCATTATTTCGAAAACCGAAAAGAAAAATTCCGCAACCAAATCTAAGACTACTTTCCGACTCTCAAGACCTCCTCCTCACTGCTGAACTCCAGGATCTGCTGGACTCAGCCTCCTAAGCATCAGATAAAACTCTTTTTAATCAGATAATTAAAAGTCATAATATTTGTACAGTATCGTGATTTAGGTTTTCGTGGATTCCCTAAATCATATTCCCCACTTTATACTATGGACTTGTGCATTTATGAGGTTGGAATAGCAAAATTGGCGATATTTTTCGGAATCACAACCTGCCACACAGGTCCCACATGCGCACACGACAACTTAGGAAACATAGGTTAGGTTACTTATTGTAATCAGTGCAAACCACCCTGAAATGGAGGATAACTCCTATAGCAGGGTATTAGGAAAATAAAATGTCCTAGAAAATGTAAACAAAACTTTAAATGAACTCTGTCTCTTTCAGTTCCGAGTTTCCGAGTTTTATGCAAACAGTTATTATTACTTCGGTTAATTCCGTTCGAGATAAACTGAGGAAAATCCAAGGTAGGAATCGATCATTATTAATTTTATATTGTTCTCCTGGTCGATGCCTCCATATTACTAAAGAAATAATTTTATAGCCCGAGAAAATTAATTATTTCCTAAGAAAGGCGAGGCCAGTGATCTCAGTCTTGCTCCGACGACTAAATTTCTGAAATCCGGAGTTCTAATTTCATAGCCGAATACCGTTTTGGGATTTCTGAATTTTCATAAGAGAGGCAAGGCCATTGATCTCAAAGTCTTGTTTCGACGACTAAATTTCTCTCAACATCCGAAGAAATCTAGAGTCAATAGACCTTTCACTACACTGTTAATCGTTGAATCTTTCAATTCACGCCAGATCGTCGCCCACGAAACAACATTGCTCTCTTAAGCCTTGTTCAGAGTAGGAGCGGCGAGCGTGGTGATGCAATAGCTTAGCGTCGAGCGAAGGGATTAAAATTACAGATATCGCATAGCTGGTCGCTCTCTCCCTGAACGTTTGCAATTTGATAACATTAGGTTGTTTTACCTACGAGTCGTTCGACACAACGCTATCGCATCGCCACGCTCGCCACTCCTACCTTGAACAAGACTTTATCAGTCTCCGTATCAACCTCATTCCCTTGATAATAATCTTTAAAACGGAAAACGATCAATTAGGTACGCGACATTACGTTATATTTAATTTTTCCTAAAATTTAGCCATAATTCCTGGGCTAACACCGCTCCGGCCAACCGTCGTCGCAAACCTCCGCCTGCCAAAGTCAGGAATTGCGAATACCGATTGATTTGCAGATCAAGAGGATTTTAGAATGACAATAATTGCGTTCAAACTGGAATTTTGCAAATATTTTCATTGTGTTAGTTATATTGTTAAATAACTTTGAGGTTTTCTTTTCACCGCTTGTTTGAAATACTGTAGGTATATCCGTAGGCAGTGGCGGTTTGCCCGTAAGGGCACTTGGGCACGTGCCCTAGTATAATAAACAAAACAAAAATAACTTACATAATTTATATTTTCCTCAATGCCTATTATTATGTTATCTAATATTCAGCACAAACCGCGTTGGCACGACACTGGACGACCGGGCGTTGAGCGACATTCCGAGAATTCCGAAATTAAGATGGGCACAGGACACAGTAAATGTGTGCCTCTGTTGTTTTATCTCTCATTATGATGCGAAAAACAAGGACAACGACAATATCGCTTAGCAAGAGATGAACACATGCGATGGATTATACGTCACAAGCAGGGCGCTGACCTAGACCAGATATAAATGTACGCAGAGGCATCTTTGCCGGCTGGCTCTCTCACAAAGGTGATGTCGGTTTCGGCTGAAGGTGCGCGTTTGTTGGACCATGATAATAATTTATTTATTTATTGGAATAGTTAAGAAATAAAACTACAAAGAAAAATAACTTTTTTTTATAAAGCAGTCAAAAATATGAAAAAAAATCAATAATATTAATAAATGGGACAAAATTTTTATTTTTCTCTGCATATTTAAGAGTATAAAAAATTCTGAGTCTATAAATAATTTAATGGTGTACATTTTCGCAAATTGTTGGAAAGGATGACCAAATTCTATTTTGCATATCTCAAAAAGGTATGCGTTGGAAATTCCAGGCTTAGTTGACAAACTATCAAATAGAGATATAAATATTTTTTCTAATTTGAATATATAAAAGAGAAATTTTTCGCTAGGAGATTTTAAATTGCCAAACACCTTTTCTTCAGAGTCGTATGCTTTAAAATACGTTAACAAGTTTAGAATTGTTAAGTAAATTGCATTCTTCTGAGAAATTTACGCAAATTTCGCAAGAGTGGTCACATTTAGCTCCCTGTAGTCACATTCAGAAATCGTTATTGTCCCAACTGATTGTTTTGAAATATATATAATTTTCATTAAGCGGAGAACTTGTTTTCCTAAGGGAAAAACGAATCCCGGGATTCCTTTCCAGTGTGTGCCCCACTGCCGCTAGTGCCCACAAGCCGCCACTGTATTTATTGATTTATGTATTTTTTTATTTCCACTGATGGTAATTTTGCAAACATTGTATAGCTACAATTATTAAACAAAACAAAATAATTTCTATCAGTAACTTTTCGAAATTTAAGTGTTCGTAATTACGTTATTAATAGCTATATTTTTATAAAATTTTGGTCACAGCTATTAGGGGACACTAAATCCAGTGGTGTATTTTTTTTTTTTTTTTTAATAAAAATTCTCAATTTACGGATACGAAAAAGTATTGTATTATACCCTGAAAATTGAAATAAACATTTTAAAGTTTATCCCAAAGTACGTCTTTTGTTATTTGATATTTAAAAAAAATTGTTGAAATCGGTTCAAATTTTACAGGTGTATATATAAGAGTGAAACTATTAGCCGAAGGTCTTTGCAATTTTTTTCTCCGTATACACTTCTAACGAAGAACTACTTATAGTATTTTTCTAAACAAACACCAAAATTAACATAACAAAAATAATCTGAAGCTGTCTAAAGTATCTAACAAAATTTACTTCAGTTGAAATTGTCTGTATCAGTTAGATTGATTTATTGTTTCTTTTGTTGAGGTAGGTACATAAACTCTCAGAAAATATTCTGCCAATTCTGACCGAATTGTGTGCCTACTATACTTACATGGCCGTGTACGGTAGCGCTGACGAAAACGGCCAGCGGATCGGGCGTCGGTATCGCCCTGTATTGGCCCCACCATCTGTTCATAACGACGGTTACGTAAAAACCTAACACGAACGATAAGGGTATCAAATTCGCATAGTCATCACAGTAACGAACTATATTCTCGAAAACCCTGAAAATAAAAGTCGATTACACATAATTATAACTTTGTTGGTTAATTAGCTCATAGTAACGAACAATATTCTCGAAAAACCTGAAAATAATCGTCGATAACGTACAATTTGCTTTGTTGGTTAATTAGAGCAAACAAGCTAGATACATTCATTGAATTGATTGTGGAAGTCCTTAGAGGATATACATGTAATTTTATTATTTATTAAAACATTACAAAGCTTTTAGCTTAATTTACAAAACATTTTTAAATATTTACCGACTTGTAAATCCTTAAAAATAGAAACGTCAACTCAAACCGTTAACAAATTAAAAATATATATAAAAATCGTTTAAGTTTCCAAATAAAGTAGTTCCGCTCGTCCGCTAAGAACTGCCTGAAGAACCCACCGTTGGCTTGACGAGCCCTGAAAATTAGACTGGAATTCGGGTATATCAATAGGAAATTAACTACAAATAAAACACTAATGATTTTATACAGTAAACGTTAAGCTGAAAAGCTCAAGTTTGCGTGAGGGTGTTCTAGTTGCACAAGAGCTGAAAAAATTAAAATATACAAAAAGTTGAAATAATAATTTATAATAATATAAATCTGGGACAACCTTTTTGGAGACCAATAAAAATTTAAGCGAGCGTGGATGTACCTGTCCACATTCAGTCAAAAAAGAACTCATCGGATTAATCCTGTATGTAAAAGAGAAGTTTTGCTAAGAATCTCCAGGGAATGGCGCTATATAAGTCCTTAATAACCCTGACCCTTGCCAAAAAAACTGCCTGTATGTATACAGTCAACTTCCGTGCAAAAAGTCTGCTAATTATGTAACTAAAAAACTAACTCTCTGGGAAAACAGTCCACAAAACCGGGAACACTTGTTGCATGCACATGTGGTGATGTAAGATTAAAAACTGTTACTGCTCTTCAATTTTAGCGAGATACATAAATCCTTTTTCCTCACTCTGTCCTATTATGGATGTGGCATCCCCGAAAATACAAATGTCTCGCACCAAAACTGAAAACCGTTTTATGAAACAACAACCATAATAGAAAATAGAAAATCAAACGGGAAATATTTGGTACAGCATGAATTAAGGACTGATATGCAAACTAATTAAATTACATGACCATTATGGGTATAGTACGAGCAAGAGATATAGTGTGACTTTAAAGCTTTAAAGCAACATACAAAAAATTAAGGAGACTGATACATCACCTTTAAATTAGTAGAGGAGCATTCAAGAGATTGAGTATACTTATTTTATTTTTACTTCCCTCGATAAAAGAAAAGTATTGTAATAGTGAAAATTTAGGTTTTCACGTTTTCGGGTCCCTGGATTACAAAAACCGTTTTCCCCATTCCGTCGGTCTGTCTGCCGTCCGCCGTCTGTTGTCTGCCGTCTGTCTGTTGGCGCGGTAGCTCAAAAACAGCTTACGAAAAAATTTTGTATGCAGGTAAGGCTTTCTCTTGGCTCAAAACCGGTTATACTTCCGGTCAGATATATACAGGGTGAACAATTTAAAAAACATTTATTTTTAAAAGTCAGCAGATTTCGACTAAAATTGGTTTCTGGTAAAATTGTTATCTGATCAAAGATAACAGATCATGAATTACTTTTCAAAAATTCAAAATGGTTTCCCTGTTTTTACAATTTATACAGGGTTTTTTTAATGGTATGCTAATATTGTAGGGTATGATTTCTCAGGTCATTTTATTAAGAAAAGTTCATATAAACATATGTCCGCAACGGCTTCAATTTTTTGTTACAGGGAGTTGAAAATTTGTTTTTTAAAGAGATATTTTTTGATACCTCTGAAAATAGTTTAGATATAATTTTCAATTTTGGCATGTGTTAATAGGATATAAAACCATATATTTTAGCTAAAAAAAATATGTTATTGCTCTACCAGTGGCGTCTCTGCAAACATGTTATCTGATATTTTCTACAAAAAAAAGTAGTACGCCACTGACATTTTTCCATGTTGATATTTTTACTCATTTTACTGGTCCATTCTACTTCAATACGGCATCTTATATTTTTCTTGCCAGCCGCTTGGTTCTAGATTAAAATAATTAAAATTAATCGTCAATACTGCAAAATGAAGAAATTTTAATTTAATTGATGAACGATAAGATGAACGCCACTAAAGTATATGGTTTTATAATCTATTAAAAATACAAAAATAAGGGGTAAATCTTCCATGGTATTTAGCATTTTTTATATGTATATATTCATTGCCAACGAAAATGTTTCGAGTTAGAAGTATGTGGAAAATGTATATATTTAGTTTATCCTCTAAACAATTACAGAGGTGCTGCAATATAGGTTGTACAAAATAAACCGAAAAAGCCTGTAAGAACTAGATAGGAAAGTCATATGTTGGACACATCAGATTTTTATTCATATCACCCAATAAGAGGATTCAAACAACTCGAGAAAATGCTGTTCAAGCAACATGGACATCTTGTTTTGATTTATAATATTCAACGTAATATTTAGATACGTGTAACACTTTCTTTCCTTTTGAAATAATTCCAAACATAAGGCGTAAATACAAGAAAAATTTGGCTACCTTCGGATTGCTTAGTTGTACGGTTTTCTTCACCACCTCTTCTTTTCTCACATTTTAAAAATCAGAAAAACAATGTACAATGAACTAAGTAAATTTTCTAAAACTTTATTCACAAACCTAGTCCGCTCCTGCCGGGTGTATTTCCAGCCACCTGCACCGCATTGAGTAAAAATCGTTTAACTGTCGACGAGTTAGTCAAGACGCAGATTGTTTAGGAGTACATTCAACACGATGACGAAAGCGTTTCCTCTTTATTCTATTTCAATAGTTAACGCTATTCCGTTCCTGGCAAACTAAATAAGCCAATGTGTTTAAAATGGTCTATTTTATGTTATTTTTATGTGTTCTATCTAAATCCGGGATATTGCCCACATATTCTGGGACGTTCGTAAACTAACATATGTAACAAAAGTTTTGGCAAAAGTTGCCTCCTTATTGCATATGCTTATGTATTGTGTGAAAATTATCATGGAACAACATATAGCTTTTGTTCTATGCAATATGTTATTCTATGACAATTTTCACAGAATACACAAGTCGATTTCCACATAATAGATTTAAAAGCATTAATTGTAATAACTAGGTAATTTTTGCCAAAACTTTTGTTACATACGTTAACCTAAAGTATACCAAGAAATCGATAGATTTATCAAAACACAATTCAGGCTTCAATTTGCTACTGGTATGTAAAAAAAGGATTAAATATATGTATGTGCCGTTTTAAATCTGACTGATTATATATGTATTAAAGCAAATACTTACACTTTTGAGACGTCATCTAAAAAAAATCTATATGTAATGTTTAAACCGTAGTAAATAACTAAAAACATTAGTAAATCTAGCCATACTAGTTTGTACAAACTTCCTCTCCATCTGAAAGAAATAAAAATACAGTGATTAATAAAGTTTAATACCTATCTTATATTTTTTTTTCTCATAATATATATTTTTAGAACAACACATAATTAATACTATATTATTTTCCCGTTGCATAGCTTTTTAGCTTCTCAAGCGTCAGTCGCCAGTCCATAAAAAAGAAATGTTAAATTAAATCAAAATGAGCGTTAAGAAATAATTTTTTTCCTTCGCACACAACATTAATATCTCAATTTTGATCTTCGTAGTGCGAATTAATTGTAGCGATATATTTTTCAACAACCCTCGTAGAATGTTCGGATAGTTTAGTTTGTAAATAATCATAATAATTATTGTAGGTGTGCTGGCCACAACCGATAGATCGATTTGATATTCGACAAGCCAATATTATTTAAGCTTTAGAATATAAGAAGTGATGAGATCATAATGTTAAATATTTCGCTTTTTTTATTATAATCCAAAGTCTTGGGGTTCAATAGACTTAATATGTTGAAAATAAACGTAGTAATAGTAAATATTTTAATTATATATTCAAGACCATATTTTGGTACATAACATAACACTGGATCAAATGTTACCTACTACTGAGGTACGTTTTTTTGCAATATACAGGGTGTCCGGGAAAATGTGAGGTGTCTCTCGGATTCAGATAGAACATTAAAAAATAAGATGACAAGTTCCCATAATTTTTTTCCTAGAGACCCTCCCTACGGAGATACGGTCTCCAAAAGAATGCCACTGGAAATCAATTTTTCTTGAATAACTTTCAAACAGTTTTTGAAAATATTATCGTTCAGAGCTGTATTTTTTGTGATAAAAAAAATCGCCGTCACTTGTCATTGAGAACGCGTTGAACTTGGCCTTAAGAACAGTATTTTAAGAGGTTCTTACTACTGTTTATCATATTAAATTTTTATTAAATTATATTACGTACTTTGAAAGTTATTCAAGAAAAAATTATTTCCAGTGGCGTCCTTTTGGAGGCCGTATCTCCGTAAGGAGGGTCGCTAGGAAAAAAAATGATGGGAACTTGTCATCTCATTTTTTAATGTTCTATCTGAATCCGAGAGACCTCCCTGATTGCCATAAATTATGTAGCTTCTGTCAAGATAATTTTTGTATAGTTATTGTAGTTTCTCAAAAGGGCCAGTTCACTTAAACATTTTGGAAAATGTTGTGGGCAACGGTGTTTGGATGTCTACAAAGTATACCGTTTTTTTTGGTACAATCACTTCTACGATAAACACATAGATCGTTTGAGGTTTGATTTAATGCCATTCCTACTCAGGTATTATTTTAAATTATTCACACTTACATTAAGTAGAAGTAAATTTTTTTCATTCTTCTGTAATAATAAGAAAAAATTGTATCATGATTTTTATTGCACCTCTATGGTATGTTCCACCATAAAGGTACCATTTCGGAAGGCGCGATAGATGGCAGACGACAACAGACGCGACGACAAGGGCGACAGATGCATTAACGTTACGCTTAACCCATTTGGGAAGCAAGGAGACAGGCGACGCGACAACCTCAGACGACAATTCGAGGGAACGATCAGTGTTGCCAGACCTACTGTTTTTAAGTAGATCCACTGTTTTTGTCTCTGTTCTCCTGTTTTAGGCATGAAATCTGTTTTTGCCAACTATTATTTTTCATTGGTTTCTTTTTTTTTGTTTCCGTACGTTAAGTATAAAAAATGTTATTGTTTTTATTCCTTGTTTACTTTCTAATTTAAGTAGCAAAATGTTTATTTTTCGTTTCTTACATACTTGTTTTTTTTTATTTACTAAATCACATTAAGCATTAAGCAGATATATTTTACTTTATATTTTATTGCAGGTCATAATAAAAGAATTTTAGTTAACAAACTAGAGCGGAACATGAAGGTTGGCTTAAGGGGACAAACCTATTTCTCCGGAGACATACACTATCTACCCCGCTATGTAATTTATTATTAGTCTGGCTGTTTAATTTTATATTTATTGTTTTCATTTGAGTGCCTTTAAACACCAGTTTAACAAAACATTTGTTTCTGTTCTTCAAACTTTATTTTTAATAGCTATATTTTCGTATTTTTCAAAAGAAACTGGCAAAATATACATTCATAGTTTTGGTAAGAAATTAGACATCTAGGCAACCAATATTACTATTTCTTGTATTTTTAATTGCATATGCATAATTTTATTGACAAATAGAACATAATATTAATTATTTTTTCTCGGCGACTTTTAGTGTGTTTATATGACTTATTAAAGTTATTCAGTTTTTAAAAAAGTGGATTATTTTGTCGTGTATTGTGTTTTAATTATTTTGTGCTGATTTAGAATGGAAAAAAGGACCACTGGTTGTAAGTACGAGGGTTGCCTTTTATATTTCGGGATTAGATAACAAAAACAAATATTAATCATCGAAAATCGCTTTATTGTTTTTCAAAATATTCTTCATGAAGATCTATACACTTCTGAACAAATTTTTTTGAGAGTCAAATGTTCATGCAATATTGAATGTATGCTGGTCCCACTAATGCCTAAGGTTGTTTAAACTCCCGATAGGTCACATGACGATCTTTCAATATCAGTTCGCGCACAGCATCAATGGTTTCCGGAACAACAACTCATTTTGGACGACCTTCACGAAATTCGTCTTGGAGCGAACTACGACCTCGATTGAATTCACCATACCATCGATAAACACTGGTCCTTGATGGAGCTTCATCGCCAAAAATTGAATTAAGTTCATCGATGCACGTCGAAAGTTGTAAAAAATAATCGCACGAAAATGTTAACGATTTAATTCCATTTTTTTGGCCGAGATGAATCTTTTAAGTTACTGTAAACAACACAAATAACGCTCATATGTCAAAACGTTCTGAGTAGGCATAACCTCAAAAATGTCAAACTTTACGACAGAGCTGTCAGTTGCCAGTTAGCAACACTAAGGTTGTCCAATCCCGAAATATAAAAGGCAACCCTCGTATAACCAAATTCTATTTATACAAGTCAACCTGCCTTCTTTAATATAAACTTTGATTTTAAAACCAACAAGGTTTATTTTTATTTCTTTTCTTTTCGCAACTGGTGACATAATGAATTTTTTGAAACCAGTTTCATAATGTTCAACATTATGCAACTGGTTGCGTAAAGTAGATCATTTTGACAGTTGCCGCGATTAAAAAAAATGTCACTTTGTATGTCAAAATTAGAAATAGTAGTTTGTGCAATAAGAGTGGATATGATGGCCATGTCGCACGAAGACGATATGGATAATCCACTCGAGTTGTACAATACATTTTTTCTACGACCCACTAACGAAAATCTACAAATTTAAAAAATATTTTAGGTTATTAAGATATAATAACTAATTTTAAAATAATTTGAATTTTACTAATTTATAAAATAAAATAAAATAAACATGAATAAAAATAGTCCCTAGCCCAGATTCCAACCCTGGATATTTCGCGTGGAAAGCAGATGCACTGTCCACAGCTCCATCGCCACTTAAGATTTTAATTTTAATACTCGTAATTAAACTAATTTCATGTAGTTTGATTAAAATTTATTTATTTTTAAAATGTTGCCAAAAAATACAAAAATGATATTATTTATCGATTCTAAACAAAAATAACTAATTTTAATGTATATTTAATCTCAATAACTAAAAAAATACTGACAATTAGTTTGACAGAATTGTCACTTATTTCAAATGTTAATAGTAGTTTGTGTATCAAGAGTGGATATGATGGCCATATCGCACGAAGACGGAATTTGAGCACGACGCCGTAGGCGGAGTGCTCAATCGTCTGAGTGCGATGTGGACAATTCACTCGAGTTGTATATTTTTTCTACGACCCACTAAAAAAAATTTACAAATAAAAAAAAATTCATCTCATTTTTCCCATCCGAGAATCGAACTCCAATCTTCTGTGTGGAAGGCAAGAACGCTAACCACAGGACCAGCTATTTTTTTATTTTTGTTGCTTTAATACACGTAATTAAATTCACTTAATATAGTTTTATTTAAATTGACAAATTATTTATAATTATAGACAAAATAAAAACAGAAATGCTATTATTTATTGATTCTACACAAGAATAACCCATTTTAATGTATGTTTAATCTCAATAACTAAAAGATATACTGACAATTAGTTTGACAGAATTGTCACTTATTTAAAATTTTACAAAATAATAGCAGTCGGTTGATCAAAATATGAACGGTGATTGGTAGATTTAATTTTGTTGCAGTGTTCTCACTACTTAGAATGGATATGAAATATATTCGTTCAGTTGAAGGCAATAGCATACTTTTTCGTTTTGTAATCTATGCGTAAATAAGCTAATATCTATGTGGATGTAGAAAAAAATAATAGTAGGCAGTTGGGGGTCTAAAATATAAACTGTGATTGGTGGATTTCATTTTTTTTGCAGTGTTCTCACTATCTAGAATGGATATGAAATATATTCGTTCAGTTGAACGCAATATCATACTTTTTCGTTTTGTAGTCTATGCGTAGATAAGCTAATATCCATGTGGGTGTAGAAAATGGTACTTGTATGACAATAATTGGGTTATATCCCATTATTTAGAACCGCAATAATTACATTACTTTTATGGTAGAAATTATCTATTTACTATATTTGTTTAGTTTATTAGTGGTACTGTGATAAGATAATTAGAAGTAATATGTTAAGAATGTTTTATATTCAGATTAAACAGTAGATCGTTTATTAATTATTTAACACGAAAATTTAAATGTTTTACTTTTTTAAAAGACATTTTCCAGACGGGATTTGTACTAGACACATATGTATAGCATTTTGAGTGTGTTTTTTTAATATTAACGAGATATCCCAGCATGTTCCTGTTTTTACTTTTTGATTTATATCATAAATTTCAGGAACATCCCATTCATTTGAATCGGTCATTTGAGAAAGCCCATAAGTCACAAATTTAACATTTTCCAAAAATGGCAGATTCTTATTGCTAACACTTGG